AGAGAGAGAGAGAGAGAGGGGGGGAGGGGTTTTCGATGAAAAGGGGGTAAAATTTAGTTAGGAATTAAAAGGGCGAACGGTATGTTTTATGCGAACGAATAAATACGTTTCGTTTCGAAACTCGTGTATCCCGTGTTTATTATCGATCGAAAATTCCTACGTATATTTTGGCAAAGTGGCCGGCCACCTTCCAATAGTTTTTCCTCGTTTTGGCACGTATGAAGTTTCGTGAAGCCGAGGCCGCGATTTATGGCCGCTGTTTTAAAGAGAATTTGTATTCACGGTCAGTTGCGCGTACGCGTTATAAATTATTTCCAGTAATTATGTTGTTCCAAGTTGCGGCAATCGCGAGGCAATAACACATATAGTCGGAATTCTTGACAGCTGTTCTTCTCGCTAATGGCCAGCTGTAAACCATTTGGATGTAGGAGGAGGAGGGGCGCTTTACGTTTTTATTTCGATAGTTTTGAAAATTGTAGGATGTGTTTCAAAAATTTGAGAAATACGAAAGAATGGTCAGTTGATGTTTTATTATTGATATATTAAGATTTATAATTTTGATATACGTACTGTTCAAGAAACAGAAATGTTGAAAGGAATTTTTTAATTCGATACGATATATATGTATAATATATTCATCAAACGTGTATTGATCAAGTAAATGATTCTGAATGAATGCCAACACGAAGCTAGTCATTGCCAAAGAATTTGCTATTTTTCCAAGTTTCTTCATCTGCCCGCCAAAAACTGTCATCACGTTGCAATCGTGAATTACTTGGTTCTTCGTTCAAGCTATAATTCAAGTTTTGAACGAGTTTTTCGATTTAGAAATGATACAAAGTAAACTTCAAATTCTCAGCCTCGTTTCGATCGTAAATTCATTATATTCTCTGGTGAATAATATCTTGAAACGATTCTCTGCGTTTCTAGTGAGTTTTTGTTAATAACAAGAAACATGAAAATTTCCAAAATTTAGAATTTCTACAACAATTTTTTCTAAATTTTTAATAACAAGAAATTCGAAAATTTCCAAATCTCTAAAATTGCCAATTTTCCAAATTTCCAGAATTCTAAATTTTAGAAATTCCACAAGTTTCAATTTTAATCTCTAATGGAAATGATCAATCGTCAAGGAATGTGTTAAAATGACTGATGATTCGACGATCAGGAAATCTGCATTCCTAGTAAATTTTTAATAACAAGAAACTCGAAAATTTCCAAATCTCTGAAATTCAGATTGCCAATTTTCCAAATTTCCAAAATTCTAAATTTTCAATTTTAATCCCTAGTAAAAATGATCATCAGTCATGGATCCATTAAAATTATTCGACGATCAATTTGCATTCCTAGTAAATTTTTAATAACAAGAAACTCGAAAATTTCCAAATCTCTGAAATTCAGATTGCCAATTTTCCAAATTTCCAAAATTCTAAATTTTCAATTTTAATCCCTAGTAAAAATGATCATCAGTCATGGATCCATTAAAATTATTCGACGATCAATTTGCATTCCTAGTAAATTTTTAATAACAAGAAACTCGAAAACTTCCAAATCTCTGAAATTCAGATTGCCAATTTTCCAAATTTCCAAAATTCTAAATTTTCAATTTTAATCCCTAGTGAAAATGATTATGGATGCATTAAAATGATTCGACGATCAGAAAATTCCTAATTATTAATCCCTAGTGAAAATGATCATCGATCATGGATCCATTAAAATGATTCGACAGTCGATCTGCATTCCTACTAAATTTTTAATAACAAGAAACTCGAAAATTTCCAAAATTTAAAATTTTGAAAATTCCTATAAGTTTCAATTTTCCCTAGTAGAAATAATCATCGATCATGGATGGATTAAAATGACGATCAGGAAATTCCTAGTAAATTTTTAATAACAAGAAACTCGAAAACTTTCAAATCTCTGAAATTCAGATTGCCAATTTTCCAAATTTCCAAAATACTAAATTTTCAATTTTAATCCCCAGTGAAAATGATCATCGATTATGGATCCATTAAAATGATTCGACAGTCGATCTGCATTCCTACTAAATTTTTAATAACAAGAAACTCGAAAATTTCCAAAATTTAAAATTTTGAAAATTCCTATAAGTTTCAATTTTCCCTAGTGGAAATAATCATCGATCATGGATGCATTAAAATGACGATC